TACTAGGAGAGACATCTCGTGACCTTTGTCTGCCTCCTCTCTTTGCCACTCCAGTTGTCCACCTTGTCTTCCAGCTCAACAATGGCTTCCTCAGTATCTTTAACTCTCCTTAGCTCTTCTTCAACTGAATTGAGCTTCTCCTGGGCAGTAGTAAGCTCTGCCTCTGTATCTTCTAGCGAACGTTCTGTCTGCTTCTTTTCTTCCTCCAACTTAACTAAAACAATCTTCATGCTATCCCTCTCAGCTCTGATTTCATCAAGCTGCTGCTTCAGCTCAGCCTTAGTCACGGGCATGCTGATGGCATGTGCTCAATCCAATCTTCAATCCTCGTGAATCTGCTTAGCTCTATCTCGGTGGGACCTCCAAATGTAACAACCCTGATAAGTGTGAAAGATATTATAAAGTGAATAACGGAAAATAGAGCTCTTATAGCGCCAGATTCACAGAGAGGATACAACCATTTACAGAGAAGATACTGCCATTTTCTCATTAAATATTCATAACATAAAATCAATCAATTAATTATTATACATGAATAATAAGTGTTTCCACATACTTCTTTTTTTCTCTCACTGCCGCAGCTACCTAGGTCAATCAATCAGCGTTTCTGTTCCAGCTCATTAGCTCCTAAAAAGCTAATTGTAACAAAAGTCATGACATTATTATTGCACTTGTACTCCGAGTTGTACTCCAACATGGCGGACGTAATGATTGGCCACGCCTACTGCAACCTATCTATAAGTGACCCTTGCTGTGTGTAATTTGATGTTATTAAGATACTGAAACATGTCATTAATATACTATAGACATTAGGGATCTTGATGATGTCTTTGAAGAGTTAATGTCAATTGACTATAGTCAGTGGAAAACATTGGGTGTTCTCTTAGGATTGTTCTATCATACACTGGGAGCCATTGACGAAAATTGTCGAGGAAATGTTAAGAAGTGTCTAATGGAGTGCATGGCTGCCTGGCTACAATCAGAAGATAAAGTGAGAGAGAAAGGAGGTCCCAGTTGGTCATCATTAGCTATAGCACTGGAAAAAATTGGAGCAAATGACATTGCTAGTAACATTAGAACAAAGTATTGTAGGCCATAATTTTAGTATTGCTGTTATTGTTTTTTGATTAAAATTTTTGGTAGATTAGTATTTTTGGTAGTTTTTTGTAGTGCTAAAGTAATTTTGTACTTTTAGACTTAGAATTTTAAGATTATTACTGCTGCTTTGTTGTGAGAATTTATTTTGAATTTTCAATTATTTTGATTGATTGAACCATAGATAGATAATACAATTGAACTCAATGAACTGCGCATGCGTAGAAAATTTAAATCAGCGTCATCTCTCGAATACGGAAATATACAGTTTAGATTACGGATAAAACATGGAGGAAAGTGGGTCGGAAAAATCAACCAGAGAAAAGAAAGACATATCCTTTGTAAGCTACCAAGAACTGATCCTTACTAACAATAACAATAGGAAAATGCTGACATTCCTTTTGAAGAAGAAATACTACGTCATCCTTACAGTGTAAAGTGCTGGATAAAGTACATTGAACACAAGCAGATTAAGAGTGACCACGCCCACTCATCAGCAGTCAACCTAATATATGAGAGAGCACTAAGAGTATTACCAGGAAGGTATAGAATAATATTTATATTTATGCTTTATTGTGGGGAGGGACGATTTTAATTTATTATAAATAATCTATCATGTTTTAAGATAGATTATTGTTTTATTGTCAAAATTGAAACTGCCCTAATTAGCAATATTAGTAAAACAAACTACTTCCAGTATATATACAGTAATTATTGTAAATATTATTAATTTTATGTTTTTGTGTTATTTTCCAGT